TCTAAGTCATCTGTTTCCCTTTTTCCTGTTATGTTGAAAAGACGAGCAAGATGATGTTTCAGTTCAACTTAATTTATGGACCTCAACTGTTCATGGAACTGATAGTAATACTCAAGTCCTCATCCAAAAGTCGTAGGTTCTGCATCTAAATCAAAATTGTAGTATCTTTTCTTGGGGCAGACAACTAGAAGACAGTGCTCGAACTTTTTATGGTATAAAACTTGCAAGATTTGGGTGATCCTGGGTCTAATTGTTGACACAAGGCCTGGAGACTCAATGCCTAGAGTATGACATCCTTTTGGAGTTTGGGATTAGCTTTTCAGAAACACAATGGTATTTTTTGTTGTAAAGAGAATTATGGTATGACTAGGCATTAGATAGAGCACGCTGTTTTTATGCTCAGTTTTGACACCAGAATTGCTTTAATGGCAAGATGATTTTTGTCCTATGGAAGGCTGCTGGGGAGAGGGGCCGAGCTCAGTTTTGACACACATCCTTGTTTTTGTCTTTTCAGATTCTTAAAACCTACCTTCAAGAGCTTTCTTTATTCCTTTCTTTAGACAAAGGTTCTCTCCATTGAATTTTTTTGTGGACCTTATGTAGCCAAACTGTTAACCATGTTAAATCACTCTTCTTCTTTTTTTGTACTCACATTTTCTATATCTCACGTGCTTAAATCATTTCTTTTAACTTTTTTTCATCCTCATTTATCAGAATAGAAGCTTAAACCCTCCACATAAATTCTCAGCTTATCAAGTTCAATGGACGTGGCCAATGTTGTTGCTCTGCCTCTTTGTTCTAATTAAAAAACAAGCTGTTCCCGAAACGAAAAGTCAAGTACATCTGTTGGTGTACTTCTTTAAAGTTCATAGAAAAATTTGTCTTCATCATATTGTTCAATATTTATTACTGTGAATATGTAACTTTTACGAATTTACCACAAACTTTTGACTTGTATCAGATAAGGACAAATATTGTGAGGAGATGGAAAGTTTGTAAGGACTCGTATCTTACATTGTGTAGGTACATTATATTGCGTTCATGTATACCTCATAAACAAACACATTCAATACTTGCACTGATTTGCTTGTAAGATGTAAAAAAGGGAGTTTTGAATGAGTGCTACAAGGGCATATTACCCGGGAACTTGTTTTTTTGGTCAGACTATTACCCTTTAACTGGCCCTGCAAAAAATATAGCTACGCTTCTCTCATAACTTTATCTTCTGTTCTTCAAGAGATTGTCCGGTTATGAGAAGCATAAAAGGCTTAGACCGCTTTATTGTCATGTTTTGCTTCTCCTCTTCTAGATAGTTTCTATCTGGAAACAGCTGGATGAATTGCAGTTGCCCTTTCAGTGGAATGCCCTCTCTGGAAACTGAGAAATGGATATTACTTAGTTAATTGATGATGATGATGATGATGGTGGTGATGATTAGATAGAATTACTTGATAGCATATAATAGTGAATCAAATGCCACACTGCCTAATATACTACTGGTTGAGCGCAGGGCGTGGATGCACTTGGTCTAGCTACGGTTGATTCTTTAACTTCTGCAGCAGTATCATACATACCATTTGGGACATCATTTTCCTTCTCCGCTTTGACTGATGAAGACATAACAAATTTGAAAACATTACGCCGTCTTTTGCTGTTGTTGTCGGGGTTTCCAAGTAATGAAAGCTTGAGTCAGGTAAATGCTTACACATTTTATACTGGGATTGACAGTGAAATTCAATGATTTTTAGTGTGCATCCCTTATCTCATTGGTCAGAAACTAAATATTAACAAGCATTACTCCTTTGTCTCTTTGTCAGCAACTAAATACTGACAAGCAGTTCATGTGTCGCACATAAAACCTAATTTTTGCTGCAGTCATGTTGAAAATTAAAAGGTTCGAAAAATTCTTTATGTGCATAAAAGTTGACAAGAACGTCATCGGAACCTTATATTTGAATTCCCACCAGTACTTTTTTGTTAGTCGAACAAACTAAAACCTTTCTTTCTTTATGGGTTTTCATCTTGTAGGGGCTTAACGGAGAATCCAGAACCAAGGTTGAAAAGAGATACTTGGAGGAAGCATCATTAGCACTGGATCAGATTTCTTCTTTGCAAGAAATTCTCCCCCTCCTTTCTGCTATTTCTGAGGTGAGAAATGGGCATTTGGAGCAAATATGCTTGTGTAACTACATGTGCTCTTCATTGAAACCATGTGGTCCCCTTTTTGAAATTACCTATTATTAGTTCGCAATCACCCATTCAGATTAGGTTAAGGAATAGTACACATTAATTTGGGCTTCTACCTTGATACTCTTGGAAATCAAACAAGCACTTCTCTTCCCCTTCGGGACTGGGAGAGTCGTTCGCTTTTTCATGACAAGCATTGCATTAATTGCCTAATAGATAATCATATCCATACAGGCATCAAAAGTAAGTTATAGAAAAACCATTTGTTTAGGAAAAGCAGGTTGTATGAAAGTACAGGTTACTTTCGTGCAGAATGGTGGTGGATTTGAGAGCAATAAAAAACTTTTCAAACTTCCATTTAAATTACATCTTATGTTTATTATGTTTTGCTGCCAGCTACAATTGGTGATTTGCGCATAAAAGTCAGATCAAATTTCTGCTATTATTACTAATTTGATCTTGCACCATCCAAGTAATCGAGGCTATAGATTCTTCTTTTTCATTCTCTTTGGATAGGTAAGCCATATAGCCTTCGTATTGGTTGTTGATGGATAGTACATGGTCCATATGCTGATACAGCTGTCGTTAGTTTCTGTGCCTACTTCATTTTTTATGTAAGAATACAATGCATCACAAGCCAATTAATTTGAAAGATAAGATATCAAGGCTGGTGGTGATGAATTTGTTCATGCGTCACATAAGCCATACATTTCAGAGAATGCGTAATTTTCTCCTACAAGTCGCATCTTTATCAAATGGTGCATGGTGAACAGCTTACACATTTTGGCGGTGAACAAGTGAAGGACAAAATGTCTCTGTTCCTGTTTACTGCTTTGTTGAACTTCGATTGCATTTATCTACATACGGAGTGTCACAATGTGCTTACCCGCTGCTACATGTGAAAAATGTTGACAGCTCCCTCCAGAAGCGCAACAGCGGTTACTGAGTCTACCAAGTGATTTAGCAGGGAGATTATTGTCCCGGGGTATTGCGAGGACCATCCGCAGGATCTTCATATGATATAAGCAAATAATTTTTGGCGAGAGGTAGCCACTTTTCAAATGCCCATCTCCATTGGTTCTGTTCTCCGGTATTTCAATAGACCAAGATAGTCATACTTCCGACTAGAATGGGGGATCAATAAGTCGAGCACGATCAAAATAATTAGAATTCCAGAGCAAACCCTCCTTTGCAATTGAAGAATCACAGTTAAACCATTTCATTGTGTGGTGAATCTCTCTCTCTCTCTCTCTCTCTCTCTCTCTCTCTCTCTCTCTCTCTCTCTCTCTCTCTCTCTCTCTCTCTCTCTCTCTCTCTCTGACTTATCGCATCTGTCTGTTGTCAACCTCATCATAAATTTCTTGTTCTGTGCGCAGTCGATGAAGACTTCGCCTATTTCACTTTTGATCACCAAACAAATCATGCACTAATTCTTTTTTTAAGGTGAAATAGGTACTGCCCTTTCGATTTATGTCAATGGTGATGGACAGCCTACAGCATGCGCTGTACAGGTTAAGCTAGCGTGGGGGAAGTAATCGAATTTTATTTTTGTCAATCATGGAGGAGTTGGAAGGACTTCGGCGGGTCGATCATTGATCAAATTCGTAGTCTGTTGCCTCTCGATATCTCCTGCAAAAGATATTTAGCACTCTTGCATTGACGTTTCTTCATTGACATACGAGAAAGCCTTCGGCAAATGTGACTATCTAATTCAAATGCAAGGATGACAAGGACCGCATGAATCTAGCAAATCAAAACTAAGCTAGAAATGTGCTGACCAGATTTGTCTTCCACGTTAAAATCGGAACGAATTGTCTTTTGTGAATTTCTAGCGGAATGCAAGACGGTTTCACGGCCGAGAAATCATATCCTGGTTTAACAAAGGAAGTTATTACTCCTAAATTTGTATCTCTGGATCGTGGATTCAACTACAAAACTAATGTACTTGGCATGTGGACTACTTCTAGGATGCTTTGCTAATTAATTGAGAGTTCCACTGGAAGCCAAAACAGTAGACTCCTTCAGTTCAGACCCTAACCCTCCTCCCTTCTAAGGTACATCTCTAAATAATCGAATCCAAAAGACCATAGTCACTCTCCATAATAGAAAAACGATGTTTCATGAGTAATTCGCGACAAATCAACTGACCTCTCGTCCCATCGATGTAGTCAGGCAGTCGTTAATCAATCTCAAATTTTCAAGTAAGAATAGAAGACACAAGCTGTACACTTGCGCGAGTTTGATTATTTGGACCTGAATTTAGTTCTGGAACTAGTGAAATGCTAGGCTTCTACTAAGTTTGGAAATACATTTTGTTAAAGAGAACCCCAAAGCTCTTGTTGAAAATACAAATAGAATATTGACTATCCATGTAATATGCACAATCAATACTTTAAATTCCTTATAAATTTGTTTGAAGTGCCGTGGAGACAAAAGATAACGACACCCTCTAGATTTCCTCAAATCCTTTGCCCAAAAGACAATTCTTCAAGGTCAGAGTTAGTAATTAGTACGGATCGAGGGCTTCATGAACCTGCTTCAACCAGGTTAGCAGTTTTTGGTTGAAAGCATTTTTTTTTTATGTAGGAAGGATTTCTTTCCATTTCGAAATCGAAACTTACGCCAATAATAGTTGTTCGATATCAGAGGTCTTATTTGTGCAAACATCGGTTTTTACGATGTCCTTAGCCGGCTGTACAAAAATGCAACTTCATGGCATTACCCATCTTTTGATCTACACCTTTTTTTTCAATTCAAAAGCTTATCTCCTCGTATCCGGACAACAAATAGAACTTAAAGAACATACCTTCTGCTGAGTCCACAATGCAGTACCATTCGTTTTAAGTATCAGTGTGCCAGTATAGCCCTACTATTATTTCGTAATTGAATAGACAAATGTCCAAGCACTAAGTCAACACTAATTGCTAAGTATGGATCATGGACATACTTTACCTATACAAGCCGTGCAACCCTAATTAACAGAACTTCTCTTAATATCAGTTCAAAATAGGGAGCAGAGAGTTGCAAGATAGAGTTCAAAAACGGAAAAAGCAGTGTAAGAAGCTAAAAAACATGATATCCATATATCATCGATTAAGGAAACATTCGCCTGGACATGTTGTTGCCTTGAAGAAATTTCTCCATTTGTACAAGTACCTGCCAACAGTTAAGATCGACATTAAAAACTGCTTTCCATAACTAGCTCTTCTCAGACGGGAACACAATTAAAAGTGGAGAATGTTATATCTGATGGCTGATCCAGTCAAGCAGTTGACTTTTTCGAATTCTGCTTCGTTGTCAGCGAAAGCAATATGGTAATTAAGACGATCTGTATCATGTGATATCTGATGGTCAGACCAGTAGACTTTATATTTTCTGAAACCCTGCTGTTACCCCCGCTAAAATCCTTGCTACAGCTAGTGAACCATCAGCTTTCAGATTATTGAAGACAGCCTCCCTAGTTTTGTCTTTGTCAGCATCATACAAATTGTACTATCAGAGCAGTCAACAATTCATTTGGGTGGTTAACATTGAAAAAGCATGCATTTCATTTCCAAAATAATATTTGATAAGCTTCTCATTGTATCCACATCTATGTGACCAGAGTGATTACAATTTGACCTCATGCAACCAACAGTATCCCTTAGAAGAAAGTTGTTCAATATACTTGGCAGGTGCTCCAGTATTGAGAACATTTTTAAAACCCCAGCAACATTAAGGTTAAACTGGATAGATTTTTGGGGAGCAACCCTTCAGCAATTTTTCTTTATTCAGACTCACCTGAGTTGGAATGCACATTAGAAAATACAGAGATTAAACCAAGACAAAAAGAAAGCAAGAGAAGCAAGGTATTCTAAGACAAGGGTTTTGCTGGCTCATTCGAAACAAATGCGTAAAAGCATGAATATCTTTGCAAGTGTGAAAACAACACGAGCAATAACCAGGCCATACCTCAATCGCTATAGCTGTTGGTGTGACATCAAGAACATCTTCAACGCCCAGGTTAGCAGCAAGATCTGAGAAAGGGCATCTCCTCCAAAATTATGCATCATTTATGGTCAAAAGACTACCGAGAATTTCCTCAAGCTTAGATATTCCCAGTTTGGGATGCAAATATAAGAAAACAAAATGGATTCTTTTAACAAGCTTCAGATTCGTGGCTTAAGCGTATATTCACAACACTAAAGAGTGTTGTAGCACTAGCAAATGCAAAATGGAGCTTTTCACCAGTGTGGAGATATTCAAAAAACTTCCAATTGATAAAGTATAAAGTATTTCTGCTCGGATGATCTAGAAAGGGAATTCTCAGTGCAGTTGCCAATGTGCAACAACAGTAAACGATACCAAAACAGAAAAATGAAACCAATTTTCCTCAAAAGAGTGCCATATTGAGTGTATATGTTGATCAAGACATATCCGCTATACGGTAACATATGAAAGCCCATTAAATGACGTACCCAGAATGGAAACTGTAACATCAGCACTGGCATATGATTCAGCTCTCTTTTTTGAGAGAGTGAAAAGTCCAATGAAAGCCTGAAGAGACATGTGCGAGGTAACACTTAGGATTAACCCGAGAATAATGATTCAATTAGAACCAGAAAAAGTTAAGAGAGCATATGCAGTAATTTCAGATTAAGGAAGACAACACTAGCAAGATGAATAACCACCTGTGTGTATGGATCGCCTGATTCAAAGTGCAAAAGGGGGCGGGAATCAGTCCCTACAGCGGCAATTCTCCTAGCCAGGGCATCCAAGGGCACATCCAAGAAGACACTAACTCCCTGCCTGATATATTTCCTACAGTAGGGTGGACAAGCTAATGTTGTGATCTGTGCAAATGCAAATGGAACAAGCATAGATAGAAAAAAAATCTAGTTTCACTCTCATTCAAGAGACACAAGTACCAGTTGATAGGCCGAACAACTGCACCACCACCAGTTGCAACAACTTGCTGGGGCGTGAAAGACAATTTCCGTAATGCATCACTCTGGAAGACAAGATAATAATCATTCTATCATTAATTATATCAAAGGGACTGTTAGTGTAACTAACTGCAATCAGATTACTAATATTTGAGAAATTTTACGGGACTACTGCCAACTGTTATAAAGGGTTAAGCTATGAGATGAAGGTGTTGTTAAATGTTTAAATTTCTAACGCTCCCTCTCACATGTAGGTTGGCCTTTGACCTAAGACTAAAGCGTGGAAATACAAAATTAGGGAGGCAAAAAAAAAGGCCTAGCAAAATTTGAACTTAATATTCTGCTCTCATACCATGTAAAATTTTGTGGGATCATTATGAACTATAACTATTAGATGAATTCGTTGTTTATTATTTAAATATTTCAACAATAACAAAGGGACTAATTCACAGAGCTTATGAAGTCATATAGCAGTTTTGTGACGACATTGGATTGAATCCTCCCCTCACCATAACAGGGATATAGGAATTTAGGCAAGAAAAACTCTGTCCGTTCTTATACAGCCCATAAATCAACTTGATGCAAAATATAAGGTGAAATCCCCAATTAAGATTGAGAAAAGAATGTCAATGAGGCACTAGTTAACCAGAAAATATAGATGGAAACCAAGTGATTTGTATTTAAATTAGATGACAGTAGACAAATATCTTAAAACATGGATTTCAATATAAACCTACAGTGTCACATCTGAAATAATAATGCAAAGGAGGTTGAGCTACCAAGGGAGTTAAAGTAAGCTAAAGATCTCAGACGTGTGTTTAAGCTAGTGACAACAGTTTGATGGAAATGCAGTAAAGGGTGGATTGAGAGCATAAAGTTATGAACTAGGAAAGAAGCAACAAGATAATTTGACACACCTCAAAATCTCTGAAGATACACTCCCCACGTTGTTTAAAGATTTGAGTGACAGAATCTTGGCCAATAGCCTGCTCCACGTATTTGTCACTGCATTGCCACAAGCAGAAGAATTGATGAAGTGATGAGAGGAACTATAAGCGAGAATCTAAGACCATATGCTTTGAACAGTAAAATCAGTTGTATGGACCACGTCCAAGAGCTAGGTAAATGACTTGCACGAGAAAACTTGGAGAATGGCTATATACAAAAATCAAGTACCAACACCACAACTAGTTTGTGGTCTCAGCATATGATGTCATGTAAGTGATGTTATAATACATATGATGACAAAAAAGAAGGTTAATTACAAAATCAGAGTGGCATAATTTTCACTTTTGACTGTTTGCATCTGGCTGCTTTTGATCCCCAGTTCTTCATGTGGAAGTTACATCCTTATCTCTTAACAATTACTGAGAAAATCTATAAGGATGCACTTCCAACTAGAAACTAACCAACACGAGAGATGATTCAAGGAGCAGATTTCCATCAATCAATCGTAACAATTCCATTTCCAAGTATTGTTGTCAAATTAATCTGAAAGGATGCACAAGATCGAGTAAGTGCTCTGACCTGTCAACAAAAGTATAGCCTAATGCTTCAGACAAAATCTTTCCGACCGTCGTCTTTCCAGAGCCCATCATCCCTAAGTCAAATATTGCACAAAATTTTTAACACAAAATAGAAGGCTATGTCATCTTATAGAGAATTTTAGCAAGAGAACAAACCGACAAGGAAAATGGAGCGGCCATCTAAGCACAAGCTCACTTCTTGGGCCTTTGTCTGTCAAATACATCAGAACCCTTTACGTGAATAACATAATACTAACTAAAATTGCAAGCTAGGATTTCATATGAACTCAAATCCAGTCTTACGCAAGTTCAAATAATGTTTCCCATCAAAAAAATAAGTATGCATACCTTGAGCAACCAATTTCCATTGGAAGAAGCGCGCAAATATCCTGCTTCCAAAGCCGGGACTACTAGAAAAGGTTGAAGAGAAAAGGTCAACAATAAATTGGAGGTAACTTCCACTTGATGAATAAAAGACTTAGCTGAAGATATACAATTCTGACAGGAAAAACAATCATTTACACTCTCATAGGCTTGAGTAATTTCGAGGCGGCGTTGTCTGATACCTACTTTGCTTATCGACCAGCATCTAAGACAACTATACTAATCTCCTATCATAAAACAATGTAAAAGAATCACTTTTCATACATATCGCGAATGTAGAGATGTATTTCTTCATATCGGCTGTTTTAAAGAATACAATATCCCTTTGCAATTTCTTTCACCTTGAAGCAGTTGGACAAAATGAAAATCTCCCGAAGGAAAAGTATACGTAGATGTCCACTTCCAGCAGTCCTTTTCTTGTTTCCTTTTCTATTTTTTAGAGACTAAGATAAAACCATGGGATCAGATAGGTCTAGACAATTGCCGGAACAGGGTATATGACTCTCTAGTCGGATTAGCAAATACAATCCACAGTAACTGGAAACCTTCAAGAGAGATCAATGGAGGTTTGTGTGTTTCGATCTTCAGAGCCACAGAGAGAATAACGACGGAGTATTTATGGTGGCTTGACCCTAATTAGGTTGCGGGATCAGAGGAACTAATTACGGTCATGATACGGATAGAAACATAATCAACAGTGATCATGCAATAATCGAAAATGACTTGAGTTCAATCAAATTAGCAACAAGGACGAGCTCTTCCTCCCATACAAAACGAAAGAGGGGGAATTCACTCGATATAATTCAACCATGACAAGACGTACATGCAGCAGCGGGCAACACCACAGCACGAATGGAATACAAGAGAAATTCTCTACTAACCTTGCGAACACTCAAGAGATTGTAATTGACCGACAGGAGGCTTCCTCTGCCTAAGAAACCCGTGTTTCCCTCGCGAGTCACCAACGGTTACAAGGTGGAGATTACTCCGACGAGGCGACGGCAAGTCGTTCCTCTGCTTGCCTTCGTTTCTATTCGAACGCACGTGCGGAGGAGGAAATTGCAGAGCCGCCGGTCCACAAGCGGCAGCCTCCATGCTTATATGCCGCGGAGTTGACCAAACAAAAGTAATCTTATATATACACACACCCTTCTCCAGAGAAACGAATAAGTACGAATAGACCTCTAATGCAGCAAACCTCTAAACGGCGATCGTACGAACTTTATCCGAGCCGGTTGGATCCAATGCTGCAACAGAAGAGGGAGTTCGAAATCAGCTCAAAAAACAATCCGAGAGAGGGGCATCATACAAAAGGTCGTCTTTCCAGTCGAACCCAAAGAAAGAGAAAAAAACAGAGGACACCCATTTCAGAACAGACCACATTATCCAACCAATACATCCACTCCGCCCGCACGAACGCACAGAACGCCGACAACCGCTCCAAACTAGAAAACTCGCCGAACGACGGGACCTTAGAACAACCCGAGAAGCGGAGCACCCTATTCCCCCGGCATTCTGTCAAGCGACACCGGAGCAGAGGAGCAGAGCATTTAATGGAAGTGGGCTACTGAATATAAAGCGTCAAACTCTCCAGAGAGAGAGAGAGGGGGGGAGAGGACGGTAACGAAGGACATCACATCACGCATTTCTAGAGAGAGAGAGAGAGAGAGCATGGCGCGAGGACGAGGAGGAGGGGGAGGAGGGGCAGGTGGTGCGCATGGTGACAGTGGGAGACATGTGCACCGGATTCGATGGTAGAGACGCGACTCTGCCCTGCGTCTAAACAGAGAGACAGAGAGAGAATGGTCGTTTGTTTCAGATTGGAGAAATTCTATTTATGGTCCCTTCGTTCGCGCTGACGTGGAATATCGGCGTCCGAGAATTGCACTTCCTCTCGTTCGCTTCGGGTCTCGCTCCCGAATCGATTTTCCTGCTCCCGCAACAAGACGAAAAGGTCAAAGATAAAAAAGAAAGATAAGTGCAATATGGGTTGCGCATGAATACCATTCTGTGCCCAAGAACTATTTCTGAACAGAAATGATATTTTTTTATTCTGTGCCCGGAAATAATTTCTGAGTATTTGAAGGCGTTTGATAAACTGTCCAAAATTTCTATTCCTAAAGTAGAAAAGAATAGAAATGTGTTTGGTAACTACACAAATTTCTGTTCCCAAATAATATTTTAATAATATTTTGAATTGTTAAATTTTGTTTTTCTTTCTACCATTTTCTTCTTTGGCCATGGCCAGTCGCTGGCGACCGGCCATGGCCCGTGGCCGGCGAGGGCATCACGGCCTCGCCGCCGCCGGCGGAGGCGAGGGTCGCTCGCCGGGCGAGGGCGAGGGCCGGACCCTTGCCGCCTGGGCGAGGCGGCCTCGCCCTGGGTCGCGACGGCGAGGCTCGGCCGCCGCTAGATCCGGGCGAGGCCGAGCCTCGCCGTCTCGGGCGAGGCCGACCTCGCTGTGGCGACCGACGGCGAGGCTCGGCCTCGCCCGATCTGGGAGAGGGCGCCTCGCCCTCGCCGACGAGGGCCGTGACACCCTCGTCGGCCCTGGGCTGTGGCCGATCGCCGGCCGCCGGGCCCAGGGAAGAACAACACAAAAATAAGAAAAGAAAAAAAAGAAAAAGAAGAAAAAAAATTGATTCTCAAAATTGTGCCGAGAAACAATAAGCAACTTTTTTTTACTTCTTATTTCTCTTCCAAAACTGTTTCTCGGCACAAATTTTTGAAAAAATGTGCTCGGGAACAAAAAGTTTACCAAACGCATTTCTGTTCCCTAACTATTTCTGGGAACAAAAGAACAGAAATTTTCACTGTTTGGCACGTTACCAAACGGGTCCTTACCGGTTGGTCCGGTCCCTGAGTGGCCCAATAAAACCGGTTGATTTACAAATAATTCCCGAGGAACGTAGCAATCGATGGCACTCGGCTTCCTCAAGTGCCGAGCAAACAGAAGTCCCTTTTAAGCAATGAAAGTAACATTAAGGGTAAAAACAAGGACCGAGACTTGGCCATGTCCGAGGCATTATCAGAACATAATAGACCGTTCAGTGAACAATTGGCCATATCCGAGGCATTATCAGAACTGAGACTTGCCACATCCGATGTGGGAAGCTACCGGTTATCAGCTTCTTGCTCTTTTTAATTTCATGACCTTTTGTTTTCATCTCGTGCGAACCCAAGAGAAGTTAAAGCAAAGCAAAAGAAGAAAGGCATCCGGTCCTTGAAAATGTCGACACGTAAGAACAAAGAAGAGATGCAATGCTCGACGATTTCTCGGAAGAGAAGAAGACCCGGAACACAATCAGTCTGAAAAGAAAGAAACGAAGAGATGAAGCGAGGAGACTCGGCGAGATGTCAGGTGTGAGAGGGAGAGCTCTTCCAGGTCGTCTTCCGCCGAGCATGAGAGGCAGAACTAAGAGGTGAGAGGTCAAGCGAGGCGTGAGAGGCAAAGCTCAGCTGAGAGGCGATTTAGGATTTCTAAAGGGAAAGAGGAGAGAGGAGAGAGGAGAGCGGGACACGAGAGAAGGAAAGGGAAAGAAATTTGCGTAAGAAATAAAAATAAAAAAATAAAAATAATCAGTCTAGTCCAAGCAATACGGTTCCCCCTGAAATCAGACATCGGACTGAAAATTACCGGTTCTAATTTTATGGAACCGGGAACGGGACCGCGCTCCCGAAAACCGCCCAAAACCAGCTAGTCCGGTCCGGTCCAATCTAGGTGGTTCCCATTTCGGTTGGTCCGTATTGCTCATCCCTAAAAATAGGTACATACAACATATGTAGAGCCGCAAGTAAATGAAGAATAGATAGTATCAAGTGCAATTATATATTTATATCTATAAATTGTCGAAAAAAGTTAACTAAATTTACTACGAAATATAGGTTACATTCTTTTTTTCTCCTTGGGATGCGTTTGTTTTGCGAAAAATGAATGATTTGGAAAACATTTACCTAAGAGTAATTGCTTCAATCGATTACCAAAAAAAAAAACGAAAGAAAAATTCATTGTCCGTAAAAATGTTTAGACAAAAATTATTATCGATGATAAAATATTTTTTATTAACTTTTCGAGTAGTATAATGATTATTTAAAAAAAATGTCAAATTATTTATTTTTTGAAAAAAAAAACTGATGCTTTTTTTTTTCAGAAAAAAGGATCAGTTTATGCTAAGGGTGATCGATTCTCGGTCCGATCCGGTTCCAAGGTAGAACTGGGAACCGGACCGGGAGGACCAGTTCTCAAAATTGGGAACTGGGGACCGGACCATCTGATCCTAGGGCCGGGAATCGGACCGACCATCGGTCCGGTCCATTTCGGTCCGGTCCAATGGAACCGGTCACTTTCAACCAAACATTTTAATGGAATCGGTCCAATGAAATCAATCACTTTCAATGAAATATTTTACCGGTCGGTCCAATGGAATGTTGCTATTCACAACTGATAAATAGACCGAAGCTTTTCAATTAAAGACCTAACAATGGTCTGCCTTTTATTCATAAATACGTGATTAATCTTTGTTTGACTAGCTTATAATTTGGGTCTCTGCATGTTCACATATGCGGCATAGTTCCCCACAAAATGATGCCATTGATAGAGAAAGTGGAAAGACCCTTTTGATTGATGCGTTCTTCTCAACAGAGCTGAGGAGGTTCCAACTGTCATCATGCTGAGGGTTGTGTTTATTTAGACTCAGTTCTTATGCGTTTCTTTGCTACGGAGGTTCATCGGCAACTCTTCGATATTCTGTGCTCGCTTGCTTTCTTTCTTGTCGCTCAACAACTGGTCCTTACATTATTTTCGTGGACTTACTTTCCTGGAGATTTTAGTGTTTCAATTGTTTCTTTCTCATCCAGATCTGGCGCTTGCTACACTGCAGATAATGAACACTAGAAACTGAGCACTTGATCACGGTGCATTAAGAACAACATTGTACTAGGTGGCAGCAACCAATTGTTAGATTTAGAAATTTTGCACACCCCTACATTATACTTATTTTTTCTGAAGAAATAAAAAAAATAAAATATATATAGTCGGTCCGGTCCGGTTTGGTTCTCCCTTAGAATTAGGAACTGGACCGTCCGAATACCGGTTCCACTTTGAGGAACCAGGAACCGAACCGATACTCCCGGGAACCGGACTGAACCGGTTGGTCCAGTTCGGTCCGATCCGGGTAATTTCCGGTTTGGTGATCCGTTTTGCACATTCCTAATTTGCTCCCACAAAACAGCCTCTTTTGTCCTTTGTGTCGAGCCTTCCAAAGCACCGGAAGAAGCGATGGCTTATGAAGAGAGCGAGAGAGTTCACAAGCTGACAAACGTCACTGTCTTCCTACCCATTCCATCCATGGTTGGCTTTTGATCCAATGACAACTGTTTCTAAGAACTCAAAAGAAGAACGTTCCTTCTTTGATCAAATTCCCACTATACCTATTCCAAATTTTTCTTAATTTATTCAACGTGTCCAACTTGCATCAATTTTCGACATATGTCCTATCAATTCCCAAGCACCGAGAAATAGCTAGCTTCGATCTCTCTTTAACCATGGACTTGAATAAGTTAATTGACCTCCTCTTTTCTTTGATACAAGAGAGGCCGATTCGAGAGTATTGTCCGATTAATTGAGTCAAAAACTTTTGAATGAACCTAACCAAGACCGAACTCGCGCTTGATAGAATTCAAACTTGCGACTTCGAGAACTTAGGGTACAAATGATAACCATTCTATTTCTTTATATTTCTGTTTTTCTGTTTTCGGGAATAGGTTTAGAACAGAGATCCGTTTGGCCACGTAATTTCATTTTTTTTATTTCCGAGATAATTTTTAGCCAGAAATAGATTTGGAATAAAAATGAGAACTAAATTTTGTTTTACTTTTCAATTTATGGAACAGAAATAGAAATAACAACTCTTTAATTACTCGCCCTCACCACCGCCCCCCACCGCCGCCCTCCGGCTGTTCACCGCCACCGCCCACTGGCCATTCGCCTCCACCTACCGACCAACGGGAACAGAAATTTAAGAATAACCTATTAAATAAATTTCTATTTCGGAAATAGAAATTTTGTGTCGTTATCAAACTCTACTTTTTGCTCA